TCTGTTACCAAACCAATCCAACTCGAAGTCACACCTTTGCCAAGTCTTCAGCAATCCCGCCAAGGTCACATTGCTTATCGAATGGCCAGGGTGACCCAGAGTTGCTGTGGACATCGCTGTTGATACCCATGGCAAACTGGCGTGGACGGCGACAACCAAACATTTTCTTTTAGATGATGTGCATGAGGGAAGATGAGGGTCCAAACTCATTGGTTCGCCTCGAAAAAAGGGATGGCTCCAGACAGGGACACAAGAAGACCACTCTTCAGTGGGTTCCGGAGCCGAAGAGGCCGAAGAGGGGAGTTGTGGAAAAGACTTGCAGCGACCATCCCGGGTACCTCCCGAACGCACTGGCATGTCTTGGCGAAGCATCGAGAGTCTCAGTGAGTTTGGACCCCATGTGTTTCAAAGCTTCTATTCTTGACCGACAATAACAAGAAGCTACTGGGAACAAGGGCACTACTACTAGTAGCCATGTAGCAAGGAAGCTGGGCACGGGGCGCTCCTGGCCTTACCGCCCTGTAACAAGAAGCTACGAACGTAGAAAGAAGCGATACGCACGGTGGAGGCCATCGATATTAGGTTGGAAGCGATGTCTCCCAAGTCGACGATGTGGAACGGTCGATGGGTCGCTGCCGAACGGTCTGCCCAGGAGCTGCCATTGCGGGCGCATGGTTTGGCGCCAAGATGGGCGGTTGATCAGAACAGGGCGGCAGATAAGGGGATGATGGGGTGCGGGTGGTAATGTAGAACTGTAGAATGATGATAATCAATTAAACTCTTCCATTTGGATTGAACAACTTCTGCATATGCGGGCTTTTATTCATCAACAGTCGATTGTCTTCATACAGCTTGCCTCCCCCGCCTACAATTGATATCTTCAAAAAGTAATCCCTTCTTCCTGATGATCAACCCAACCGTGGTTTGCAAGTGGATTTGTTCATTCATGACGGCCCCAAAAGTATGTTACACATACAACATAATACAACATGCATATAATACAACCAGTCCCATCTCGGTAGCTGAGGTGTTGATTTCTATCCTCCAGAGGTTGCAATGGGGGGAGAACACGTCTTGAGGCCAGCACTTGTATGCAAAGCTCATCGACACTATGGCATGGGCTGATGCCTTCCTTTGGCAAAAGCCACGGCCCTAGTGGTGAGGCCTGAAAAGCCGAGTCAGCCAATGAAAACCATGCTTGCTTGCTTGCTTACTTCCTTCCGTCCTTCCGTCCTTCGGTCCTTCCGTCCTTCCTTCCTTCCTTCCTTGAGTACTTACTCATTTGCATAGTAATGCATATGCCCTCTCAAAGTCATTGTCCCACTAGAGGGCTTGGCGTACGGCACACAGTTTCAAGGAGAGCAAATATTAGAGTCTAGAGACATGGTTAAAGGATGTTAAAGGGTTAAACAAAAACACTTTGTTTGTATCAAATCTCTGAACATGGGCCGAGACCCTGTTCTGGACTCCCTGTGTGCTTTCCGGCAATGGGTGAATCATGGTGAATCACACAAATTCCAGAGATTGAAGACCCACTGAGAGAGCTTCCAAGCAGATGACCTGGCTTTGCATGAAAATTGGTTGTTTGGTCAATTGCACTTTGAACAAGTTGTTTTGTTCAGATCTGTCGATTTTTACTGAATCCTTTTTACCCAAATGACTTGGTCCCTCGTCGGCCTGGCCTGCCTGCCGACTCATGGCATCCGTGCCGACCGACTGCACCCGACCCGCCCAGGCTGCCGCGGAATGAGTTCGCCTATCCGGAGGCTGCCAAACAACTGGAGGAGATCACCCAAATCGCTCCTTGAGTCCTTCAAGGAGTGGGTCGACCCACCCGGAACCCTCCAAGAGAAGACGCGAAGACGTTTCAGCCAAGGGTTGTATACCTGTGGCTATATATTGGTACAAGGTGTCTATTCAGGGATAAAAAGACCTCCTCGGAGTTGTGTTTTTTTGTCCTTCCTGTTTTAGTTCTTTCCATTCCCTGCTGTCCTTTCCCAGTTTTTTGGTATTGTCCCTTCCCGCTTTTTTGCCTTCAACCAGGTGGAGTACATCGTCTACGAAGGCAAGGAAGGCCTGCCTGGTCAGGTCACCCATCGGGTCATCCATGCGCACGCGCATTTGCGTACGGGCGTGCGGGCGTGCGTCGGGACGTGCGGGCGTGCACACCTGGTTGCTCCTGGTTGCTGAACTGGTCAGCCCTACTGAAGTTGTATGAGAACTGAAGGCTTTTTGCTCAGTTGACCACCACAAAGATGGCGTCATGAAGTAGAAGATGAGAACATCCCGGAAACATAATATTGAAACAAATGGCAGAATGGGTCCATGTTCGTGCAGTGCCTGATTCTGAATTCTAGGTTGGTCTCGACAATTCCAACCCGGCGTTCGCCCAGCCGTGAAACTCACGGCTTCTGAGGTAGCATCGAGCCCCACGTGGACAACCATTCAGCTGTGACCATTGCGCCTCAGAGCAAGAACAACACTTAGTCATACTTACTGTAGTCCTTGTTGAATAGTTTTTGCTTTTTTGGTCGCTTGAAAGTCTACTCAGTGAGTGGATATAAAGACCTTTTGGATCCTTTTGGGGGATTGGGTTTCCCCACTTAAAGCCAACAAGTGGAGGTTTGGTTCACCTTGATCCAGGGAAACGGCTCGGGATCGTGTTATCACCCGTGGAAGGTGCTAAATGATTCCTCGGGAAGTGTCGCAAAGCTGGATGGGAGCTGGTGTTGATACCTTTCGCATGTTGCTCCAGATGATATTGGGTGGAAGACCCCTCAAGCTTTGAAGCATTTTGCAGAACTTTTTGGTTCTACAGTTCTACAGCTGTATATTTCCTGCGCGAGTCTGTGGTGGGCTGCTTTGAGTTACGTAACCTTCCGATGCCGATGCTTTGGAAAGCAATTTTAACAACAATATTATAGGGCTCACAAGCATGAAACTCCCCACCAATATTTTGGGAACCATATATCTATTGAATCGCATGCTCTCTCCGGTCTGAGTTTTCGCTCTCAGGTGGTGCTGCTCTCGGATCCCTCCGAGTTTGGAGCCTCAGAGTGGGCACCTGCCGGGTCACCCTCCATAGAAGTACTGGAGGCAAGGGATCCACCAGACCTTTCTAAGCAGGGACGGCTACAATGACGGCTATGCGAGACAACTCACCCTCCATCCAAGTTTTAGCCGTGAACCAGAAATACCCACTTGGCTACATTTGGCATCGTATTTCAATTCTTTGTTTGTAAAAGAACAGACATCGATATTTATGTTGTCGGATACTGTAGAGAGGATTTACATGGATTTACCCACGCACTGCCCGTCCAAGGTTCAAAGGTGGTGTGAATTGCTTTGCTTCGCCGGACTCTGAGGATGTGCCTTGGATGATGTCTTTGTTGTTTGCAGCTGAGGCGAGAAAAAACACCAAAGAACGGTCTTATGGATATGAGGTATAAAGATGTATAATGGAACGTTCGCTTGGCCACAGCTTGGAATCTAGCTGATGTGCTTCAAAAGTTGGGCCACCCACGGACTCCATCACCCGACACCCCGACACTGCGGCTTCTGAACCGCTCCACAGCCCTGCTGCAACGCGCGGCGCGGGTCGACGCTCTCCGTGGCGCGGTTCGGCGCTCCCAGTTGCCGGCGCGGGTGGTCTCCTTGGACGTGGGCGACGCCGTGCTCTTCCGAGGCGCAGCCGTCGGACTCGACGCACGCGCGGAGCCGACCCTGCGTGTCGGACGAAGTGGTTTTGGGTTCGGTAGGTGAGGTGGTTCGTTTTTTTCGGTGCGGTACTTGAGCATTTCTATTGCGGTGTCGATGAAGTAGATGTTTGGCCTGTACTTTGGGGGGTGAATCTTGTGTATTACAACAGTGATTGCAGCGTTTGCGGGGAGTTCAGCCCAGCTCACTTTCCCACAAGAAGCTTCATATTGAAGCAAGGCCTGTGGAGGTGGTTCTTGGGGTAATTTGAAGCCTCGCAATTGTCGGCTAGTCCTTCTTGACCCCCCCAAAACGGATGGTACTGGTACTGGTGGATCCCACCACTCCACCTATCCAGCTCACCCTCCTCAAGCTGCACCGCTTGGAGGTGAGAAACTCCGGCACTGGATCACCCCGGTGACCGAAGGCAGGCGTGTGATTTTGCAGATCGAGCTCTCCAGAGTCTGACAAGGCGAGGGCAGGGGACAAGGGGACGAGGGCTATTGACCTGAAAGCCACGTGACATCGAAGAAAAAAACATAGGGGTCGCGCTAAATAGTTATTCCAGGGGATACGTCAATGGGTGGAATCATTTTATGCTGGAATATGCTGGAATCGTGTTCTTGACATCATTTCTTGACAGGGGGGGTCATAGGGGGTGTCAACGATGTACCAGAATCATTTTTGCATTACTATATTAACTATAATGATGTCAGAATTGATGATTGCTGCGGTTTTCAATGTCATGCTTGAATGCGCCTGAGTCTCAAGCATACAGACACCTACTACTGAAATGAAGATGAGTCTGAGTTTCATTTGCTTTCTATGCTGTTTTATAGAGTTTGAGACCCACCGTCCCCGTACATCCCGAGGCGAACGAGGCTCCAAACTCCGTGCCCAAACTCTGCGCGCTGCGGCGGCGAGAGCGGCCCCACGTTTGCTGCGCTCGCGGCTGACACGCGCAGCGCGTTGGAGCGAGGTGGTGCGGAGAAAAGCGGCCGCTGACAGGCTTTCTAGTCGCTTCCGTCAAGCCGCTCTGAAATCAACATTCAGCTGACATTGAGCCTTTGACCCTTTCTTGCTCACTTTCTTGTGGTTGTGGGCGCCCCATCGATCGACTCAAGTCCCGTGTCTCCAACCTCAACATCCGGTTTTTCCGCTTCGAACCAAAAGAAACGGAGTCAATGACCTTCAAGGGGTGTCTTGTCTGGAGGTCCCTTAGTGGTGGGCTGGGGCTTCCAGCCAGGTGACCCCGACATGAAGGTGCTGGGAGTCATTCATTGCAAGTCTCAACCTCGTTTCAGGTATTCATGCAGCTCTCCCGGCTGTGTCTCGAGGGTCTCCAGCAGGGCTTTGCTCGAGCTAAGTCAAACTTTGCAGCCCGGAGCTCAGTGCAGAACCACGGTGGCAGAAGAGGGCCAGGTGCTTTGTTTTTTACTTTTTCCCAAGAAGCCTGGACCCAAAAGTATCAAAAGATATCAAAAGCAATGAGCTGACTACTGACTACTGTACTTGACTTGATTGGTTTCAATGAACAGCCCATTGCCTGCCAGCACCATCTAGGAACAAGATAGAGCTATTGTTCTTTCCCCCTTGGTGGAGCTGTTCTTTTCTTGACGTGGTTAGTTGCGGGGGGATGGCTCAGATGGATCCCTTTCGTTTGATTGGCCCCATAGAGTTCTGCCAGAGATGGTCGGCTAGCGGGAGGATGGTCCTCCAGGCGTTCAGAACTGCCACACATCATGAATTCCTTCGGCCATCAGGTGTTTATGGTGGTCTTGGAAGGTCCAAGTACCTTCTGAGGAGGACTTGGAAACCTAGGGTCTGTGTAAGATATCTGTAGTCAGATAGTCAGAGTCTTGGGTGCAGATTTGGTAGTTACCGGTGACATGATGCACGGCCTTGTGATGAGAGGGTTCTCATGAGCTTAGGGCCACCGACAGATGTGCTACCGACAGATGTACTACCAGCATCTGTGAACATGGACAAGGATTCTTCCAACGCATCCCAAAACCGAGCTCGCGCAAACCCAAAGCATTCATCGTCAACGAATATGTTCTTCCACCAGTTTCTGAGATGGTGGCCTCTATCCCTTGGTGAAAACACCATCAGTCAGTGACCTGAGGTGTTGGCAGAAGCGCTGGCAGCGGTGTGAGGATCCAGGCTGGGTGATTCATGTCAATTGAGGATGGCTTGAACTCCGACTCACTCACCTGAAAATGTGAGGAAGCACCACCTGAACTCCACCTGAACTAACCTGAGTAAGTGGAACACCACCTGAAAATGGTCCTTCTCAAGGGGCCATGCCATCCATGTGAGCTGTTGGTCCGAGTGAAGATCAATCCAGCCAGGCGCGCCATGTCCCCATGCAGTCCTAGGTCCTATAGGACTCCCAGGATGTCGCAGGTCCCACCAGACCAGAGTCAAAACCAGTCGCAGTATGTTGCAGCGATGAGTTCCAGCATACTTTGCTCGACTTCGTTTCCAACACTACGGTGTTTTGCTTGGTTTGGCACTAGTTTTCCAAGAGTTGGCGATTCTTAAGGATCTTTCACCTCAAGGCTTGCGTCCTTTTGTTGGAATGACGCTGACAGGAATATCAATCCGGTCACCCACTGGTGCTCGTTAGGTGATGGCGTCTACAAGCATGTAGTATAGTGTATTCAGTTCACAGCGCTTGGCGCTCGAAGCCGCCCGCACGGAGAGTGTGCGTCTGTCTGTCTCGGTCGGTCTGTCTCGGCCGGTCTGTCTCGATCTGTTTGTCTCGGTCTGTCAGTCTGTCTGTCTCGGTCGGGCAGGAACACACACGCGATGTCAATAGTCTGTCTCGGTCTGTCCGTCTCGGTCTGTCATGAGTGGGTCCTTAGAACATTTTTTCCTGGGTACCATGTGGGCTACTGGATTAATTTCACAGGATTAATTTTCTGGGGGGGGTGGAGGGTAGACCCCCTGCACTTGTCGGATTCGTTTTTGAATGCTGACTAGAACATGCTGCGCTAGAATCTGGCAGTATGTAACGTGTAATTGATGCGTCAAATAGATGTTTTTTGCAAGCTCAAACATATTTTTTTACTTGCTTTCTCTTTCAGAAAGTAATCTGGCAGTATGTAACATGTCAAGTTTTTCTTCCAGCCCTTGCCCTGATGTCAACAACCTGCAGAATAATTTGACAATCTTTTTGGTTTGGTATCCAGCTGAAACATTTCCTTACACAGTATTTTGCGCCTGCTTAAGGATACCTACCACTCTTCCCTCTGCATAATAATCCAAGATCTCAACACATCTGGATTACTGTATTTTGTTTTTTGATGTATGGTAGTATGCGGTTTTTAAAAATTAACCTGGGGGTATGATACATGGGTATACGGTATACTGCTAAGGACGGTCTGCCTGTCTCGGTCTCTCTGTCTCGTCTGTCTGTCTGACTGTCTTGGTCTGTCTGTCTCGGTCTGTCAGTCTCGGTCTGTCTCGGTCGGGTAGGACACACGGACGAACACATCCACGATGTCAATATTGCAGTCTGCCTCGGGCTGCACGGCCGACGTGGCCAACGCTTAGAACCGAAGCCATACGGACAATCATACACGCATGATTAAAATCTTCACTTCCCGGGTAAAAATGAGGCCCCCCCCCCCAGGCTAAATTAAGCTTAAACTGTGTATCTATCCTCCAGTCTACGCGAGCCTACACAACGCCTCAGCACCTTCGGTGCGGGCGGATTTGGAATTGGGACAATCTCACTGGGATCCACATCAACCTAGCTCTGTGAGGCACTTCGCCGATGCAAAGCCCCACGTCTGACACAGGGCCCCAGGCCCCACGCTGTTCTCTGCAGGGGAGCCACCTGTGGAGGAAGATCGGGAAAGTGAAGAGCGCTTGGTGGGGCTCTGAGCTTTGAAACCATCAAGGCGGAGGAGTTGGACAGAAGCCGTCAGAACGGGCACAGATTAGCAAGCACTGATCAGCAGCACCCAGGTTAGGAAACTGGGTGGTGGTTTCAGTTCTTCTGATGTTCAATCTTTACGTGAACTGATTCCCACTGGTTCATATCTTCCAAAGTGTGGTCCCTCCTCCAGAAAACCCAGGCAACAGGTGGGAATTTGTTGGTTTCCCGAAGACCAGTAAAAATTGATACGGAAACCTTCATAGGGGATTCGTTTCACGGCTGAACGCGAACATGGAAAAGGGAGTGGAAAAGGGTGAATTTTTTGTTTTCCAGGGGAATTGAGGGCGTCTGGAAGGCCAATAGAGGGCGGATTTTTTCCCACCATCGCGGGGTCAGGTTTTGGAGAAACTTCCGTGGTTCAGGGGAGGGGATGAGTTTGGAACAGATGTCATGTGGGTTCCCGTTGTGGATGTTCTTGGGGTCTCACTTGAGAATAGTGTGTGTGTGTGTGTTTTGGTTTCAGATAGTTTTATGTTTAACCTTTACTTTGATGATTGAACCCACTGACTATGTTTTTCAAGTGAGTTGAACCCACCAACCAGTGACGCGTGTGTGATTTGGTTTTTGGCATACTGTCCTACTGAATCACATGGCATACAACATCCTACGTATGTATTTTCGTAGCGCGTTCGAAACATAACCCTGCCAGACAATGATGGATCGCCCTTGCATGCTCGCCTCTTTGAGGCCAGCATACTGTCGGAGCTGCGGTCCAAGCCCCTTGGAACGTTTGATTTGTTGAGCTGTCGGAGTGTGTTGACGGTGGAGAAACCGGAAACCTCCTGAAAAGGGGGCCTGAGCGGAGGGTAGTTGGAAAAGGCACCAAGTCCTTGCCCCAGTAGATCGCAGTTGCCACTGTGAAGACAGCACTCCAAGTCGATCGGACATCTTGTTTCACCTCTTGTTTAAAGTTCATGTTGGTCGAGCTCGAGATGAAGAGCAGCAATCACTGTGGCCACTGTTGGGAATTCATGTGAGTGAAATCATCACAACGTCCAAAAGAGCTTCCTATCCTATCCCAAAACATCTGACTGGACATTGACATACCTTTGACTGGAATACATGCCGTGACCCCTCGAAACCGCCCCAAGGTTGAAGTAGAATAAGTAGATGCGCCAGAGATGGGAGTCTCTGGGGGCCCCGACCATCAGTGACCCATTTGTTTTTCTTTTGCCCACCGGTGAACCGACGCGGCCCACCCGCGAGGTCCAAACCGAGAGCCACCATTAGAGGGGGAGATGTGGATTTATAATGATTTATATATATATATGCGATATTATGCGATAATTTACTTGTTCTGTTTATTTTTGGGATCACTTTGCGGCGGACAACCCTTCCACAATAGACTATGGAGAGCACGGTTGCTGGCCTGGTGCTGGTGACCTGATTGAAGAGTTAAATACCTACCGGATCTACATACTTTAACGTATGAACGCACTGCGAGGGGCGGCCAGAGTCGACCACTTTGAAGACGCGGTCGACCTTGGCTTGCACCTTTGCACCCAATGCCATCCGGATGGTTTTGGAGACCCTTTGGAGACCCTTTGATACGCATCCATTTGCACAGAACTGGCAGATGAATGCACATGAGCATCGGCTTTTGAACATGTTTTGTAGAGGACATTTTCAAAAAGTTCCAAGCAAGAAGGTTGTGCAATCTTGTGAACTGGCACGTTTTCGCAAAAGCCAACATGCAGGTCGCGAAAGGGGTGTGAAAGCTGCGAAAGCCCCCACTAGGAACTATTGTTGCAGAAACATTTGGCGAAAGCCAAATGTTTTTGTATAACATTTAAACGACGGTCAGTGTGGGTGGCTGCCTTGGACTGCAGAAGAGACAGGGAAGTTCAACTACAGACGTGACAAGCAGGGAGAAAAGCTTGGGAGGCTAGAGATGTATGTTCCTTCCACCGCACTACCTCTCACCCAAGGTTTCACATCTCAGGCGGTGACGTCAAAGTTGAGAGCTCGTTCCTTGAAATCACGAGCTCGCCGCAGAGAGCGGTGGGACTTTTGTCAAAATCAGTGAGCAATGGACTCTGGCAACCCGTGAGCAGAGCCTGAGAATTCTCTGCGGCTCACGTCTCAGCTTCATCGTCTCAACCTTGCACTCTACTGGCCACAGTTCATCCGCTTTGTGTTCGCAGTTGTTCATTTCATCGTTGTCTTCTGTGTCATCCTGCTTCACCCAGACCGAGACCAGCTACGGAGCACTTGCGTTGCTGCCTCATCCTGTGGGCAAAAATCTGTTAGCCTACTTGGTTCGGAAGGAGCAAGAAGAGTCCAAGACATTGGTTTGTAACATTTGCTGGCTCAGATGGACATGTAGAAGAAGATACTGGGCGACCTGACAAGTCAGTTGAATGAGGGAAAGCTGAAGATAGCTGAACGTGAAGGATCTGCTTATTGTAGACAACAAGCCGCGCGCTTTCACGTTCCTTTTTGGGCGCAACGTGTCCACCCGACCGGTTCCCAATTGCATGCTGTCCGCTGACGCCCGATGCAAATCCCAGGACGCCGCAGCTCGATCGCAACCCATGACGCCACACCGTGGCTCCCCCTCCAACGACCGCATCGCTCTGCGGTCGCAGCGCACCCGGCGGACCGAGGCTGAAATCGCTCCCCGCGATGAGTTCCACCGCGCGAGGAGTTTTCAGGCGGAATCTGTGCAGTAGGGGTGTTTTGGGGCGAACTCAGGTGCAGGTCAGTGGATGGGTTGGGGAAAAGCGAACATTTGGGCGTAGCCGGTGTAAATCCTCATGCCAAGAGTGGTGTTTGAATGTGTTTGATAATATATTGACCTTGTCAGATCAGTTATATTTAGTGGTCACCAACATTCGCCAAACCACCGCTGTGCCCGCAACCGGAGGCTCCACTTCCGGCACGTTTTGGTGATTCTGGGCGGTGTTTGCCGACTGCTGGGGCGTTTCCTGGCGGAACAGCGGGGCTTTTGGATGTGTCGACGGAGGTTTGACATATATATGAATCATGAGATATTTGTGGTTTTGAGGTTCAAGCATGTTCATGGTGAAGTGTTCACCAATGTTGAACCACAAAGTTGGAACCATGAACTTAATTAACCTTGTTGTTTGGTGGCTCGTTAACGGTTGATACTGGATGTCATTATGTTTAATTCGACCTTTTGGGTGTCCGGATGCAGTTGTTTCTTGCAGTTCGGAGACCCCGAACTCAGGTGTTCAAAATGGGCCAGGGCTCAGAACTAATGGGTTTGAGTTGGATGCTATTGCAACAGTGAATAACAGTGATATTGTGCTGGTACCTTCATCATCCTTCATCGCAATCCTTGAGCCTCAGTGCTGACTGAAGAACTCAACCAAGGCAGTGGGTTTTTCGGCATGTCGATCCGATGCAACGATCATTCCTGGGCCAGCATGTCGCAGTTAACTTAGTTCCGCTGGCTGTTCCGCACCTTCAAACATATTCTTTGATATACTTCTCCTTGGGATCCCCTTTTTGCCGCCTGTTACGAGGTCAGGGAAGGCTTCAGAAGGGAAAATTCACAGATCCCACTTCGGTGATCTTCGGTGGCCGTGGACCCGCCGCACCCGCCGCCGCCGTTCGCCCAGGCGCCGCCGACCAAGCGGATGCGACCGTCCAGCGCTGCTTACACGCCGCCCAAGCCACCTTAGAGGCGGTGGGTCGGGGTCATGGGTGAGGGGACCGCCGCCGGTGGTTTAAGGACGGTTGGACCGGTTGCGGGGTTTGGTTGAAGAAAACACCGGGTTGCCTGCTCTTTTAGTGGGACATGCGTTGTGCCAGGACTGCTTGGTGCACGCAATACATGGTTGCTTTTGTTCTTTTTGGAGGTGAAAGTCACTGTTCATGTCGGGTGTGCAATGAACACAGCATGCAAACAACTGGAGCTGAACCATCCCATGATTGAGAAACCAGTTCAAGTACCTTGGATTGGGCACCTCTTTGGTCCCAAAGCCTTCAGGCACCGCATGTGGGGAGCTCTAAGAAGGCAGTTCCTTGTCCGTGCCTCTCAGCTTGCGGCCCGAAATCCGGAGCCTTGCGGCCGGACGTCGTGGTTCGCCTCAGGGTCCCACGGGCGGTGGCGCGTGGATCCTCCTCGTGCCGATCGGGCTGGGCCTGTCCGGCGGACTCAGGGGACTGGAGGAACGCTGCGGACCATTTTCCCTCAACATGAACATGAGAATACAGTATACATGAGATATGTTCATTCACAGATAACTCTGGAACCAGCGAGTACCCAAATTGTAGAAACCGATCCGGGATCACTTTGCTTGAGATGCACCACCGTACTGAGGTACTGAGACTGCTAGGACCTTGGGGTTTAGGACCCACTCAGACTCAAACTGCTTGTTGGAACAAGGGGGAATTCCCCCAATATCCGATTTGACCAAGACCAAGGAGGGATTCTCACCCGACCATATCCTCTATTTTTCTCCACAATATCTATCAGAAGGTTTTGGGTTCAAAACCACCAAGGTAACTCACCCTTTTCTTTACCGCTTTTGGGGCCCCAGGCTTGGCCAGCATCTGCGCAGCTGCTTCGTGTGCCCCGGCGACCACGGACAGTGCATGGACCGTCTGCTTGACGATTGGTCTCCGGGCTGCGGAGACCCCCCAAAAACGCCTGAGAAGTGGGATAGTTTTCTTGGTCCAAGTCCAAGTAAGAAGGAAGCCACCAAGAAGAGCAGGAGAGATTATGATAGAATATGAATTACTGTAGTATATTGGCCAATAGTATAGCCAATAGATGCCAATAGCCATCTAGCATTTTATTGTGCCGATTGTGCATTGGTGTTGCTTTGGGCATCTTTGGGCTGAGGCAGCGGTGGGAGAAGTTGCAAGAGTTGAAAGCTGCAGAGAAGGCTTCGCTGGTTGGGGGGCGGCAATGACATACCTGTGATCAGAGGCAAATGGAAGGATAGTGCACAGAAACGGTTTTGCACTAAGTTTTGCACAAACCCATTCCACTAACTTTGCGGAAGGCCCGGGATATTCGTGGAACGTTTTCTGGAATGGTGAGCCAAGTAGGAACACTAACCGTGACAAAAAACAACCTTCGCAGAAATTCGTAGAAGGTATTCTTGATGCACTAACTTCGTATACCCATTTTTTGTTGACCACCATTCCACTCACCCCCTCCGTTTAGCCTTCATGTGAAACATCTAAGGCCTCTCAAAAGCAAGCATACTCGTCAAGCTTAAAGTGTTCATATTCAACAAAACCGATTTGTTTCAGCTATGAAAATGCATGTGAATTGACTGACCCTGGCAGGTTTTTTTTTTTTAAGTGGCGGGTGAGGATTAAACGTCAAAGATGCGTATCGCAAGGAACTAAAGAGCCCCTGAAACGATGGCATGTTGGCTTCCCTGGGTCCCTGGTCGATGATTCTGATCATTTTGAAGAACATCTTGTAGTGGCTATAGAGCAACTATCAACTTGGATGTTCACAAGCCCACGAAGTCTCGGCCAAGTTCTGTCGTCAACGAGTCACCTGTTTTCCATATGTCGTAGCACGGGGTGGCGTCAAGGGCCCTGTATTGATCCGAGATATGTCGGTCGGACGAAAATCATTCAAACACATGTATGCGATATGCAGGAATTGACACAGGAGGAAAGCTCTTTCGTTCGAGCCCATCTCGACCATGTAAAATTCCTCTTGGAAAAAAATACAAAATTTTTGGCCTTGACGCCATTGCTCTTTTCACCTGTTGTAAAAATCGCTCTGAAACTCGTATGAGCCGTGAGCATGGTCAGGGAGAGCAACCAACCTATTGCGCGCCGAACTGAAAGTGAATGGTGTCTGGCACACCTTGTCTTTGACTTCCCAATCACTCACTCTTTGTCGAAAGCGCTCCATGCCTTCCAACTGCTCAAGCCTTTCTTTCCTGGCCAGGGTGCGTTCCAACAACTCAATCTGTTCTTTCTGCTTCTTTACCTTTGCACTCACCTCAATCATGAAGAGCATCCTTTCATTGCAATGACGATTCCAGAGGCGAATCTGGTCCGAAGTGCAACCGGAGGTGTCCTCAATGTCCAACAATTTCTTGTAAGACTTGCAGCGGTTATCTGTCCAATTCTCTTCAATCATTACTCCTCTCAACGCGCTGTCGATCATGGGGTGCTGGTAGTTGAGGACCACTTCATTCAGAATTTTCTTCCACTTCCTTTGTCCTCTTTCATTCTCAACACTTTCTTTGATTTGGTACCAGCGATCCCACTCTTCTGGTGACACTTCTGGATCATCGTTCACGGAAGAGCTTCCGGCATCATCATCATTCACCTGGTTGTTCTGTGCGGCTTCCATCTCTGCAATGGTGCCATGGCTAGGATTTGAGTCAATCTCAGGAACTTCATCGTCGTCATTCACCTCATTTTCTTCAATCGCGTTCTCATTCACCATCACTGGCTGGGGGAAAAGAACTTGCACAATGCTCAAAAACCACCTGTATGCTTTGTATGCAACGTTCTGCATGCCAATGAATGAAAACAGGAAAATCACTAACAATGTCAACACAACTCGGAAGTCATCGGTTGCAGTGTTTCCCGATGCTGCCTGATTTGTATCAGCTGCTTCAACACCTGCTTCCTCTGCACCTTGTGTTGCCAACGTAAGGATTGCCATCTGTGCTGCTTTCTTCCACATGTCTTCACCAAGTTTGCGCTGGTTGAAGTGCTTGTAAAAATGTCTTCGACTGCAATACCTGTGGTGTTGCTGTGAAGCATCAAGCGACTTCCCACAACCGGGCTTCTGGCATATTCCAGCTGCAATCTCCTCGGTCATCAACAGTTCACCGTGGAAAAGCATCTTGGCGGCTTCATCGTGTTCTTTCTCTTCACCATCTTTCTCTTCTCTTGTGACCTTCTTGGCCGCCGTGAAGTTTGGATCAAACCTCAAAGAGTGAACTCCTCGCCTGAGAACATGCGAGAAACTGTCTTTGGCTCCTGGTTTCGTGAGCCCATCTGCAACTTGTTGTGCCGAGTTCACCCACTTCATTTCTCCAAGCATCGCAGCTAGCCTTTCCTTCACAATTGCGACTTCTATTGCTGTTCTCTTCTCTGTAAGCCTCAGACCTGCAGACACTGACCTTGCAGAATCGAAAAGAGACTTTGCATCTGTCAAAGCAGGAGTCGGGCCGAACATCTGGAGCACGCCCTCATCAGCAATGGAGATGTAGGGACTGACCATTCCAGCAGCGAAAATCTTGGTCCATTCAACTTCATCAATTGCGCTCGCCGCTGACTGTGCTTCTGCCGACAATGAAGACCTGCACACGCGGTTCAACTTTCGAGAATGCCAGCTGATGATGGTCAAAGGAAAAGGCTTCCCTGCATTCATCTCATCCTCTGTGCCGATGAATATGGTGTGCCCACCTTGGGACGAGCCGTCAGGCCTGATTTCCCATGATGCGTCCATGTACACACCAAAGCGCATCTCTGACAAGCTTTGTCCATGTCGCCTCAAGGTCATGTTGTAGCCTTGAACAACGTCTTTTGCAAATCTCAACAACTTGTTTGCTTGCACAATGTCACCAACTGTTGGATTGCTCGACGATGCTTGCAACAATGAAATTGAAGCGGACAACTGAGGTAGGCATTGTCCTGCCGGCCAAGCCAACGCGCCAATGAGTGCTCTCAACATCTTCGTTTCTTTGGGCTCCAATGGTGCGTCGCTCATGGTCTTCCTCTGCTTGTCCAAGGTAATCGGCTTGATCTTTTGCACATATTCTTTCAGGCTCAATGTCAAGCTGTCATACCCAATGCTTTGCTCCAATGATGTCCCACAAAACAGGATCTTGGAATTGCGACCGAAGTCCCAACTGCCGAACCTGAACTTTTGTGCCAAACTCTGCAACCTGCTCTTGAAACAATGTGTTGTCCTCTGCGCTTCTGTCTCCTCACGGATTCCGGTTACATCCTCCACTGCATGCACTCCTTCGCCACAACCAAGGAAATCATCAACATGCAAACCAAGAATCCCGTCGACAATGTATTGCTTGCCTTGGTGTTCAAACACTTGGAAATCCTGATCTCCTCTGCATGCAAGCCTCACGCTTAGGAAAACACAGTTGTCCAAAGGATGCTGAAGGAACTGGGCCTCATTGATCAGGAAATCTTTTGCTGACTCATACCACTGCCTTGGTGCTCTCACGTCACCGAAGGCCGGTTTGGTGGCTTTGAGAAGCTCCCATGGTTTGAGATCCATGAGTCTCTCCAATCGTCTCCTCATCTCAGCAGTGGGTCTGATATAGATGCGGGTCTCCTCATCGATGGACTTGGACTGCATGAAAGCACTTTTCACATCTGCTGCAAAGACTTTCCATCCCAACTGACAAGCCCACTGCAGGATCAACATGCGACCTGTTCTGCTCAAAGTCGGCGACTCACGATCCAGCTCTTCATTGAGAACGTCTTTATGACGGAATCCTTGGATGATGACTCTGGCATTCGCCACTTTTCCTTCTTTCGTAGGTTTCCATCTCTGCAGAAATCTTGCTGGAATGACCTCGCCGTCCTTGGCCTCCGTCTCAGGAACAGCCTTCCAAGCCTTGTTATCCAGCCAAACACGTAGCGCCTTGTCCTTCGCTTCACTGAACTCATTTCGCTCCTTGTCCGTGAGCTTGGATTCATGGAATGACTCAGCCATCAAATCTTCGTCCTCCTCCATGGGCTGAACCATCTGTTCCCAGTGTTTCTCAAAGGCTGCATCACCGGGTTCAACTCGAGGCATTCCATCCAACTGTCGGGACAAATTGTAGGACTGAAAGGCTTTGGCTTTCTCATCTCTAGCGGGTGGACTTCTTGATCTTTCTCTCTGTGGTCTGACATCTTCTTCTTTTGGAATCTCTGGCTCTCGCATCTCTGCATCAACTCCGGTTTCACCTGCACTCTTCTCAGCAACACTTGCCAATGTAGCTGGTGCATCTTGTCCGGCATCGGTTGCAGTGTTCTCCGATGCCGGGGCATCGGTTGCAGTGTTATCCGAGGCCGAAACGACGGATGCACCCTGACTCGCTGCATTCGCAAAAGAGGTACCCCCAAGGGAAGGAGATTGCTGAGAAGACAAATCCAAAAACCGAACGGGACCGCGAACAGGACGTAAGGTGTCAAGGATTTGGGTTTGAATCGGTGTGGATTGAGCTGTATCTGGCATGTTCTCTAACCGTGCCAACCGTTCTCGTGGCAACTCTGGACGAATGTGTTCAGGAGCGACACGAACGAGAGAGGCACCATGAGCTAACCAGTAAACATGAGGTCGAAACTTCTCTGAATCGCTCATGGGTTTTGGCTCAACCATGCAAACCAAAGAAGGTCCCCGCCATCGAGAGCTTTCGAGCTTGGAATCTCCCTGCCGCCAGTAATATGCCCAAGAACCAAGTGGCAAAGGTTCGTGGTCGGACCTTGGTCTTGCCAAAAGAGAACGTCTCAGAAGGGCATCATTGTTGGCTTCATGAAATGTCTTGGCTGCAAGAGTCCGGAGAACTATAGGGGATAACATGAGGATGGCATGAGGAGGGAGCCTATGATATGCCATCCTCTTGTGGTTTAGACCATTTCCATGCCATCTACCCCCGCACTAGAGAAATGTGAAACAAGTAGATGGCATACAATGCAAATAGAGCTCGAAAGCTTTGCTAGAAAATGCAAGAAATGTCAGCAAATGTCGCTTGATCCGTTTGGATCTTTGGATGTCGTTTTGTAAGAATGTGCACTGATTGATGGCATTTGGTGTCCGTCGCGTCTCAAGCTACCATGGACGATGATCAGCAGGGGGCGAACAGTAGGAATTAAATTTCCTAGTCAACTCAGTGGGGCCTGAGATAGAATATAGAACAGGCAGTCCAGTTAGAATATGGGAAACCAC